TTTACAAACGTTTTCACTTTGTTTAAAAGACTTAAAGTATTTCAAGTTGAGTCACAATTAAAGTTGAAATTTTGTTCTTCAAAAAAGTATATGGGGACTAAGTATTCCTAAGAGATTAAAAGTATTTTCACATTTAGATAAGAACAGAATCTGAGATTTCTAAAGAGCTTTCGGGCTAGTTTTCAGAAAAGAGTAATCACTTTCTAAATAAAGCAAGAGAGGAAATTGAGATTTCCAAGATAGCCTTTGAGATAAGCTTTTAGCACTAATATCAAATCACAGAAGAAGTATGTTTTTTAAAACATAAGAGCTAGTATATTTTGGGAGTAGTATTGAGCCCCGTTATGAGAGAGAGTTCAGACAACTCACAATCCCCATAAACCATGTAGAAATCATGGGTAGAAAAGGGTCATAATTTTTAGATGAACCCTTTTCACATAGACTAGTGGATCCATTAGAAGTTCAGGTCCTATACCTTTGGCCGGGTATAAGATGCGCTGGCAGCGTGAGATAGATTGTTGTATCATCACTATAGCTCTTATGTGATGTTTGTTGATTAGAGAAACTTCCACAGTGGTAATTGAGTGGTTCCTTAAACTTAGTATGAATAGGGATATGATACTTTATTCATGCACTGCACAAGTAGACTTTGAGAGGGAGCATGGTATGTCTTTTATGATATTATGATTATGAGTTAAAATCATGTTTTAAACAGTTTTTCTTTATAATTCACTTGTTTTAAACTGCTTTATATTGAAATGAGTTCAATCAAGTATCACGAGTTGAGTATTTTGAGTTGAGTACCTTAAGTTGAGTATCTTGAGTTGATATGTGCTTCATTGAGTCGAGTATCATATCTTTGAAGTTGAGTATCTAATCTCTGAGTTGAGTTGAGTATCCTTGAGTATTTCCTTGGGTTGAGCAAGTTTGAAAAAGGTAAGTATGTTCCGTTTCATCAAGTTCAAGCTTATGTTTATGTTTTAGAATTTCTCGTACATGCTCGTTTGACCTGCATCTTCTCATGATGCAGACAAAAGTATTTAGGATCATCAACAGGAGGTTCGTTGATACACTTGAGAGTTTGAGTTAGGTATGGTGAACCTCCTTACTTCTTGAGGATTTCATTTACTCTTTAGTTTAGTCAAAATGTCGTGGGTCTTGTCCCGACTTCCATCATTATCATTTAGAGCCTTCATAGATAGTCAATATAGTTGAGAAGTTCGTATTATTCATTTATGTTATTAAATATTTTAAAGGCTTAAGTTGTCTATCTATGGCGAGTTGAATATGTTATTTGTATTATTCACAGTTTTCTTTTGAGTTAAAGTTTTGTATTTAACTTACAAGAGTTGTTATTCTGTTTTTAAGATGTTGCATACTTAAGTTAGTCTTCCGCTTGTAGTCAGCCGGGATAAGGGTTCGCTTGGGGACCATCAATGGTTCTTAAGTGTCGGCTACATCCATGATGTAGACTCGGGTCGTGACAATAACAACATACAAAATAGACATAATACATAAATATGACCCTTAACTTGGCGTCAGATGTCAACTATGACCTTTAACTTTGGATGTGCACAAGTAGGCACTGAAACTTATATATTGAACAAAAACACATTCTGTTCTACCTTAGAGCTTATGCCATTTCTCAAAATGGCCCCTTAGGAATGAGAGCTTATGCTGATATTTAAACCAAATGACCCTTCAGAGAATGAGAGGTTATGCCAATTCTCAAAATGTGAGTTCTAATGCATGATATCTTTTTAGGACCTATGATGTCATGCAATTGAATTCAACTTGATCTAAAGAAAATAGAAGGAAGAGTCCATTTGGATTGACTTAAAAAAATAGTTTTTAAGTCAAAAATAAAAAGTCAAACTGAAATGACTTTTAAATAATAATAAAAAAGTAGGGGAAGATCTATTTTTGATTTCTGAGTTATTTTAAGTCATTTTTGATTTATTTTAAGTCATTATTTACCTTGTCAAATACTTCGTAACATATTTTAAGTCATTGTTGACTTATTTTAAGTTATCTTTCATATTTGTCAAACACTTTCAAAAGTCAAAACCTAACTTAAAAGTATGTTTGATCAACTTTTATACTCATCCAAACGGGTTCTAATTGGAGTTTGACATGGCCTAATATTTCTAAGGAATATGCAACAACTTTTTTATACTGGTTAGATATTACAAAATAATTGTTGAGGGTTTCTCTAAGATAATCGTTACATTGACATATTTAACTTAGAGTGGGTTTAACTTAGAGAAGTGTGGATTTTCGATGATCAGATAGAGAAGAAGATTTTATTTCATAAAATAAAAATTATGTTATTGACTACAATTTTAATTTGACCTTATTACCACCTAATAGGGGTGTACATGACTAGGTTGGTTCGGGTTTTTCAAATATCAAACCAAATCATTTTTGTTGAATTTTTGAATTTATAAACCAAACTAAACCAATAAAACTCGGGCTTTTCAACTTCGGGGTTTTTTGGATTTTTCAAATTTTTGGATTTTTGTGTAACGTATTCATACAAACATATAATTTACTTGTACTTCAAATATTTCGATAGTCCTACTAAAATGCAACTATTTAAGTTATTTCTTAAGAAAATAATACAAAATATAATATATTTTATGACACTAAAATATCCAACAAAAAATAATAATAAAATCGGGTAAATTAAGTCATAATGAAAATGATCATAATTTAAAAGTACTGAATCATGCTAAAATAAGTTTAACAAGTATTAGTTACATGACTAAATATCAAAAGAAAGTGAAATGGTCTCGGGTCATTTTTTTAATTGAAACTAAACCAACCAAATATAGTCGGATGTTTTTTTTCAACACCAAATCAAGTCAAACCAAACCACTAGTCATTTTTTTTGGTTTGACTCGATTTGCGATTTAATTGTTCAATTTTCAATTCGATTTTGTACACCCTTATAATACCTATCATGGAGAGTGGTTCCTCTATGTGTCTCTTCTCAATTCAGCGACATAATTGTCTAGATTTTTACTCCATAAAGAATTCATCTTCAATCCATATTTGTTTTACTCTCTATTCTCTAATTTAGAGAGTAAAATAGAGAATGAGCTCTACAACCACCCTTCATTTTACTCTTTATTCTCCATTTTGTAGAGAGTTGAATAGTAGTTCTACATATTTGGAAAATTACTATTCATATTCTCTATTTCACTTTTTGTTTATTTTAAAATTATTTCTATGGCATAATATTTGTAACTTAAATATTATAAATTATATAAATTATGCCAACTTTATTAAAGCATTTACAGGAGCAACATAATAATCTTCAAAGTTGAGTAGTTATGTAATGATAATGTAATTGTAATTCATTAAAGCTTTCATTTTTATTTGAATTGTCCATAAATATGTATACATTAGTGGCCAAGCCAGAAATTTCACGAAGGATGTCCAAGTACTAAAGTGAATCCGCTCTTTTTAAAAAGTGAAAAAATAGTTACTAGTAAGATTCAAACACACGAACACTTTAAGTTTGCATGTCTCTACTCTTTCAAGACACCTGAAACCACCAGGCTACAGTAGATTGTTGTGTCAAGAGTGTCCAAAATATATTACTTATCCACTTTATTTATCACTTTTTACGTATATACGATATAATTTTCTGACGAAGGGTGTCCAATTAGCGTCAATATATATATATATATATATATATATATATATATATATATATATATATATATATATATATATATATATGTTATTTTGAAATAACATAAATTCTGGAAATTTATGTTATTTTAAAATTTAGAACAAAATATTTTATATTAGATAAAGAATTTGAGAAAACTAAACTTTTGTATTACGTGAACATTATATAGAGCGAAGAAGAAAGAAATGATTTCTATTATGAAATAAAAAAATAACAACATAATATTGATAAGAGTAGAAAATTCTTTTTTTAGAGAGCAAAATAAAAAATTGGATTGGAGTTGATTGTTTGAAACACCTATTAAGAAAATAATTATTGACCTAGTGAGATTATCATTTTACCTTAAATTGGCACATATATTAAGAAAACAATTATTGACCTAGTGAGTTATCATTTTACTCATATTAATTATGAAGTTGATGAATTAAAAATCAAAGATTTTCAAAAGTTCTTTTGTTTTTCGAAGTAGGTAAAAATATTTTATTTATTTTTTAATTTGTCAAAATAGACAAGTAATTAAGGACAATTAAAACTAAAGAATAATTACGGATAGGGAAAGTAAAAAACTCGAAAATAAAATACTAGGCGATAAGGTTAAAGAAGATGGTAAAAAATGGGGAGTATAATTTTCTAAGTCAATTCAGAAGAAACAAAGATCCATCCGTGTTTATACCGTGTATATCTATCTAGAGAACCACAATTTTATAGGAATACTCAAATTAAACTTTATAATTATTTGACACAACATTCAGCTCATGTCCATGTCAAAAACAATAACCAGTGGTAAGATAAAGCCTGTGCCCACTATACCTCATTTTCCACACAATTTAGTCCCCATCCCACCCTAATCTTTATTTGTTTATTCCATGCCACCATCCAATTTGGCCTAGACTCTTCTTGGTGAAGGTATAAAACAACACTCACTTGTTTACTCTTAATAATGTTGAAGAATCAATGTAAAAGATGCGCATATCTTAATTTCACATACAATATTGTAATTTTTACTAAAATTAAAGCTCACAATCAACGGATATTCCTTTTATTGCATCTTTTTTCTCAGAGTAAATTCAACTAATTAATAATATAAGATTTGGATGTTTAAAAATTATTACTTTGTTTAAAGCAATACAAATTACCACGTTTTTTTGTGAATTTTAACCCAATTACTTCATACCATATTATTTATTATTACCTGTAACATAAAAACCGAGGACAGAAATGGAAAACAAAATCCATTGGTTGCTTTGTCATAAAGGTCAAACCATTCAGATTACGTGCTATAAATACTAAACTCCAGAACCATTTGCTCAACAAACACATATCTAGAGTATTTCGAATTTTATTTTATTCTGTTAACGTGAAAATGGGATCACGTTACGAAGTTGAAGTAAAAATAACTTCAGCCAAAGATTTGAAGAACATCAACTGGCGTTACGGTCCACTCAAACCATACGCAGTTGTCTGGGTTGATCCTAATGCTAAATGCTCCACTAGAGTCGATGAAGATGGTGATACTTCCCCTTATTGGAACGATAAACTTGTGATTCCTTTGTATTCTCCCATTGATGAATCCGTATTGTATATCGATATGGTTCACGCTGTTGGCGCTGAAGAGGACACAAAGCCTCTTATCGGATCCGCTAAGATTCCTCTTAGCGAAGTCGTAGAGGAGGCTGGGGTAGGCGGTGAGGTGGAGCGTACGCTCCAACTCAAACGCCCTTCTGGCCGTCCTCAAGGGAAGGTAAAAGTACAGGTTACCGTACGCGACCCACGCTATCGTGCGCGGGATGCCTATTACGCACCTCCGTACGGTGTGCCCCCTCCGGCCCAGCCTTATAATTATGGGGCCCCAATTCTGCCTTACGGGCAGCCGGGTGTGGGTAATTACGGTCAGGCAGGTGGTGTTTATGGTTACGAAGAGGAGAAGAAGAAGAGTAAATTTGGCATGGGGACAGGATTGGCAGTGGGTGCAGTAGCGGGGGTATTGGGTGGAGTGGCGATAGCAGAGGGTATTGATCACTTGGAGAATAGTATCGCGGAAGATGCGGCGGAGAAAGTGGAGGAAGATCTCGCCGACGACGATGGTGATTACGGCGATGATGACTTTTAATTAAGCTACCGTTAAGTAATATTCTTACAGTATTTTTTACGCCCAATAAAGTCAGTGAGTGAGTAGGAGCTATTGTGAAAAAGGAAGAAGGGAATAAGCTTATATTTTCTAGTAAATCATTAATATTGGCTTCTCACAAAGCAAAGAAAAAAATTTGGATACTATTATTTAATGATAGATTTTAACTCGATCGAATATATCCAATGTTATAGAGAAAAGTTGTTCGAGATATATATTTTTGAGTGTTTGAAAAAGTTTATTTGTATCGATATTTATATCAACTCAATGTAATTTTTATTATTATGCGATTTAATAAAGTAAAATAATCAATAAGTTTCACCACATGATATACATATATTGACTTGGTGTAAATATTTGGTGCAGATAAATTTTACTCCGTATTTAATTAATTGTCTCAAAAATATACTCTTTCATTTTAATTTTATGTAAATTAATTTAACTTCGATACAAATTTTAAGATTTTTCTTTTTTTGAAATTTATGATCTAAAATAAGTGAAAAATGTTTGTCTGATCGTAAATCATTTCATTAAAAATAAAATAAATAATTTCAAGTTGAATTGTTGATAAATATACAAATATATTATTATTATTATTTTACAGATTATAAAAGAAAGGAACATTAGTCGTATAAATTAAGATAAACAAAGTATCTATTTGTGATTATTTTACTTAATTTTATATGTAAAACTGACATATTCAAATTCACTTGTTAGTCATATGCAGGCATATTCTTTTTATACTACGAATCATAACCAATTGATTCGTAATTAAAATACAGGTAATAGAATTAGTTACTCTTTTCGTTTTAAAAATAATTGACTTTATTATTTTTAATTAGTATATTTCAAAAAACATAATATTTTTTTATTTTTTAATAATCATTTAATTTTAATTTCGGAAAAAGGTCTAAAATAGCCTTGAAGTATTGGAAATGGTACAAAATTACCCTTCATCCACCTATTGGCTCCAAAATGCTCTTCTCATCTACCTATTGGCTCCAAAATACCCCTGTCATCCACCTTTGGGTTAAAAATTGACCACTTATTTAACTATGTTAAAATTAAACTATTTAAATATTTTTTAAAATATTTGGCGCTCAACTATTGGTTATAATTTAATTATTAATATAATTTATAAATCATCCCACTACCGACTCATTATTAACTAAACCCCACCAAATTAATAAACCAATTATAATATCAAAATTGTGATAAACACTAGTAAACACGACAAAATTATGAATTCCTGAAAATGACATCCGAAATTATTCGACTCTGAATTAAAGCCCCAATTAAATTTAGGTTGAGCCCTTATTTAGGAGTACACTTTCAATAGGATTCTATTTCAAGCTTGAAGTCAAAATCTATGATTAAAGTTAAAGAAGTAGTACATCCGAATTAATTATGCACTTTTTTAAAATATAAATTTATAAATATTTATGGTTTGTTTCAAAATCTTAATATATTATTTTAAAAAAAATTATCTACGAAGTAACATCACATAATTGAGACGAACGAATAATTAAGATAAACATAGTCAGACTTTTAAGTTTATCGTCAATTTTTATTTAGACACTTGAATGTATGATAATTTACTTTTATAGATATTTTCGCCTCAAATTTTCAAAAACTCTCATTGGAAGTAGCTTTATTGTTGTTGCATTAGTAACATGACGGGTTTATTATTTTGATGGAATTTAATTAGTAATGAGTGGGTAGTGGATTGATTTATAAATTATATTAATAAGTTAAATTATAACAAATAGTTGAGCGTAACATATTAAAAAAAATATTTAAATAGTGTAAATCTAAAACCGTTAAATAAGTGGTCAATTTTGAACCCAAAGGTGGATGACAAGGGTATTTTGGAGCCAATAGGTTGGTGGGGAGGGTATTTTAGAGCCAATAGCTGGATGGAGGATAATTTTGTACCATTTTCAATACTTCGAGGGTATTTTAGGCCCTTTTCCGTTTTAATTTTTCATGTGACATGTTTAAGACCACAAGATTAAAGGAGTACATTTTAAATAACTTTAACTTAAAACCAAAAGATTTAAAAGTCTTACTTTTTTTTTCTTAAATTCCGTTCTAAATCAAAATAAATTATTATTTTTGAAATGAAGGAAATATTAATTATGGAAGAATTACTTTAAGTCAAAGTTGATTTTGGACTAATACCAATTTTGTATTGATTTAGAATTCCTTTATTCAAATATTTAGACACAGATAAAACAATTTCAAATACATGATGATTTTGAAATCGAAGGCCACCTACCACCGTAGGTTTTAAAAACCGAATCATTTTATAAATGAACGTGTTGATTTTTATAAAGAAAATCCGATATTCAATATTTAAGTTTAATTATATTGAATTCGAACTACGCAAAGCTTCGTTAGAATTTAGAAACAAAACACTTTATATAAATAACTTTTATATTTAAACTTTAAATTTAAAAAATTTAATTAAAAAAAATAACTTCATCCACTTGCCATATCTTTTGATGGAACCGATACCAATACCTTGTTGAATAGAGACCTATTATCAGCAAAAAGTTGGGGTCACACAAGTGGACAAATGGTAAACGACCATAGCTTGGTAGGAGTTAGGGACCTAAATAAGCCCAAGAAGTTATCAAAATAAAGCATTATTTTAGAAAGTAATTAAAATATGTTTAGTAGAAGAAAAAAATTTCATTTTTACAATATTTCAAACATTTTTTGTTAGTTTCATAATGTTTATATGTTAATAATATATGATAAAACTATTTCTTACACTTTATAAGGTGTAAGTTTTTCTTACACCTTATAAAGTGAAAGAAAAACAGTACACTTAAACAAAAAAAAATATTTTCACTTTTTGCTCTATTTATGAAGTTTTTACTCTGTTTGTTATACAATTGAGATATTTTTCCTATATATGTAAAAAAAAAATATAAATATTTATCACATGCAGTTAACTTACTTAAATAAAAAATGAAGTGTTGAACATACGGATAATCTTTGCATAAAAATAGGCGTGACATGAAAATTTGAGATGTCAACATTTTTCGTCATTTCAAACTGTAAGGACTGACCAAAATAATTATCCAATCCATGACTTGGAGCAATATTCCTATCTTTGAAGTAAACCGCTACAAAATAATAATAATAATAATAATAATAATAATAATAATAATAATAATAATCATATAAATTAATAAATAATTGACAAAATGAACAAATAATAATTGAAATATAATTATTGAGCATTACCAGCCACTTTCATTGATAGTTTCGTTCAAATCAAAATTATATCGATCGGTAAGAATATTTTGATAACGAATCATGTTAAAAAAATCAGTAGATTGAATTATCAGAAATCCATCAACGCTATTATGATTTTCTAATTGGAGATGGACATCGACCGTTAAAGAAGAACATTGTTAGCTAGTCTTAGGCTCCTTTCTAAAATAGATTTCAATTATTGTTAACTTGATTTGATCTATGTAATCATTTTGAACCTTCAAAAAGTCTGTCAACGATTTGTCATTATAGATAATTCATTCTCCAAAATTTACATGTCTTGTGATAAAAATGAAGTAGGTATTTTTGGACTAAAGTCATAATAACTATTTATACCCCATTTTTTTTATAAATTGCTGAAAGAAATATACAATATCGGATATTAATTGAAAATTTAACATTGTGTCTGGGAGGAAAATAATAATAACGGTATTTTCATCATGTGTAATTTTGTCATTCCAATAAATCGAAACTCTAATTTTTGGTTTAGAAGACATTATTTTGTGATTGAAATGAAGAATAATAGAAGACTAAAAATGTTAAATTTGTTGTGTTTGAATGTCCTTAAATAGAGCTTGAATGAATTTTCAAAATAAAAAAATATAAAAATACATAGTGTAATAATTTTTTTTATTTTTATGATATGTCAAATCAATATAATTGTATGACAAACATTACAAAAGCATCACAAGGAGAGCAAAACTTGAAAAATATTCCTCTTTTTAAAATATAAGTTTTTCTTCCACTTTATAAAGTATAAGAAAAAGTTTCACTTTAAAAGTACTTTTTTAAAGCTGCTTTTATTAAGCCCATCTAAACGGGCCAGTGCTGAAACTTACTTTTAAAATAAGCAGTTATGCGTTTGGATAAAAGTGCTGAAGTTGTTATGCCAAACGTGAAAAGGGAAAAATGGAAGAAAGAGATGTTAGAGTTATATGGGTAATTTGAAGATTGTATAAAAATATTAAGGGCAAAAAGATAAAAATGTGGTCAACTTTAAACAGCTTATAAGCTTAAAAAAAACACCCCTACCCAAGCTTTTAGCTTTTGGCTTAAAATAAGTTATTTTGAGTATTGCCAAACAGCTAAACAAGTCAAAAATCAGCTTTTAAGTCAGTTTGACCAGCTTTTAAGCTGAGCCAAACAGGCTCTAAGGAAAGACATTTGAAATATTGCGTAAAGTGAAATTTTTTCTTCTACTAAGCCTATTTTAGTTACTTCTTAAAATAGTGGCTTATTTTGATCACATTTATTTTTTTGTGTCTTATTTAATTTCCGAACTCCCCCTTTCTCTTATACTAGTTGCCATTTTTTTTAATTGAAAAAGAACTTTTTTATAATCGACCTAACTGAAAACATTTAGAACCTCCTATTTAGGCGTGTTTACGATTTGAATAAATACCGATTCAAATTTAAAAATTAAATTAAATCGTAAAAATAAAATTGATTTTGTTTGAGTTTGGTTTAGTTTTAGATTTTTGAAAATCGATAGTATTTGATTTTGATTATGGTTTTAATAAAAAAAAATTGAAGAAATAATCGAATCAAACCGATAAATTATATACATATATTTTATTAATATACATACTTAATATGTCATTTTTATAAATAATTTTAAAGATCATATATATTTTTATTAAAATTTCTTCAATAATTTACTTATTGAAAGCAAAAATGTCCAAGATGAAAATATTTATCCTATTGATTTCACGTATATGAGTGTCTATGACAATTCTTTGTAAGACTGTAAATGCTATTGTCTCTTCCTTTTAGTTCAATGTGGTGAACTTTAAAGCTTTATTGATAGTAAATTTAGTGATCGAAGTTCAGTAATTTAAGTCATTGTAACTATTTTTCGTTTTGAATAGATTTTTATCACTTTTTCACATTTTGAATGAATTATTTCTTTTATTTTTTGTGTATGGTTCATAACCAAATCAAATCAAACTGAAATCGATAACAACAAAATCAATAAATGTAAATTATATTTGGTTTGGTTTGATTTTGATAATTTTTAAACCGATTAAGTTGGTTTGAT